TCCGTTCCTTGTACCGTTTATTTCATCATTATTCGTATATGTAGTATTTTTTCCACTACATGGGCAGTGCGGTCATGATTATCCTACGCGACGACCGATTCAGTGTGAAATTATTTTTAATTTGTATATGCATTGGGGCTTGATGGACACGTACTGCTAGCGTTTCCAGCCACTAAGGAGAAAAACGATTAGGGTAATTAACCAAAGAATTTAGTTTCGTCAAGAACCTAACCGCTTGGTAGTGGGCAAAGCGAATTGGAGGCCGATTTACTTGGATCGATTACTCCACTTTTACCAACTGAACTGAACTAAAACGCCAATATGTAAACAGTAACCACGTATTGTGGTCATTTACAATAGACAGAGACCCTGATTAGAAAATTTGCTATCAGAACAAAATACTTCGTAATTTCACTAAAAGCATTGACCGATGGGTTACGAAGCTTACCGCCAAGCTTTCCTCCGTCGGCTCTTCACCAACACCGACAACAGCATGATCCATATCTACATCCTCGTCGGACTTGGCATCCTCTTGAATGCTTTCAGCGTCTTCATCAACTTCTTCATCGGACAGAAGGTCAGGACCGATATAATTTCCAAACTCGTCGTAAAGATCTGTGTCCATTCCGGTCGCAACACGAGTGTAAAATAACACGTACACGCACAACGAAACCGAAATAGTTCAGATCCAATGTCCAATGTCTTGAAGTCTTGAAGTCTTGAAGTGATTCACGGGTTCGAGGCTTGTTGCCCAAATGTTCCGGGTCCTTGAAAGATATCTGTGTTTTCTTTTGGTTTGAATTTACCTCTAGAACAGAGAGTACTGAAAAGGGATTAGTAGGGTTCCCCGCTCGAGGCGAGAAATAAAATGAAGACTTACGAACTCTTATAGTTTACAGGCGGAGAAGGCTCGTTGGCTTGTAGTATTGCCTGTTTCTTGATCCATNGTTCGGAAATTTCTTTTTTTAATTCGTTTGTTCTTGTAATCTAAAAGTGTAAGCAAAATGAAAAGAAAAGAAAAGGTTAGTAGAGTATTATAATAATAATAATAATAATGTATATTTCACGAAACCCATGAGGCATGCACAAGGCATGATCATGTCGGTGTAGCAGGTTAGTTATCTGTTGTCAGTTATCTGAACCGAATTGCGTGCCTTACGAGGTG